TGCATGTGCACACACACATGTGCCCTGGGGCAGGGCAGGGAGCACCGGGGAGGGCTCCGTGAGGTGCACCCTGGTGCGCAGCGCAAGGAGGACGTGCCAGGACCGTGAGGTAGAAGAGGGGGCCCAAGGCCACAGCACGGAGTTCCCGTTCAGTTAGAAGACAGCGAGGGGTCTTAGCAGGGGAACAGCAGATCAGCGTTTAGTTCATTATTTATGTACGTCACGTCATTTTATTTATTTCTGAATGGGTACTGCACACCTGTGTAAAAGGTACAGAAGAACACGCAGTCTGGTTTCCTTCCTACCCCATCCCACATCTGCCACCTGGCTCTCCCGACAAACAACCAAAAGTTAGCTGTTTCTTTTGCATTCCTTCAGACATGTTTTATGTGCAGAGGAGCAAACACTTCCTCCCATACAGCACCCATACACACACACCTTCCCCCCCGCCCCCCACTTTTGACACAGATTACATCGCTCTGCCCTTTGTTCTTCTCACTCGCTCTACCTTGGGGGCTGTTCCATAGTGGTACACAAAGAGCTTCTTCATTCCTTTTAATGGTGGGATAGTATTCTCCTGGAGTGGGTGTAACATTCTTTGTTTTTAACATGCCCCCCGGTGATGGGCATTTACATGGTTTCCAACTGTAGCTACAACAAGCCTGCTTACACTATGGGGCGCTGCACATGTGTGTGGGCTTGGCTGGGTCAAAGATGCTGTGAATTCTGATAGCTGTTTTCTGATTGACTTTCATAGAAATACCGATTTACCCCCCTCCCTGACTCAGTGTATGAATCAGTCATAGAGTTTTAGGAAGTTCCTTCTGGGAGGCTGTTTGGAGGATGGATTTCAGAGGGACAAGTCTGAGGCAAAGAACAGGTCTCTTCCCGCTAGGGAGCAGCTGACATGGGCCTGCCATGCGCCATGGGGGTTGAGGCTGCAGCAGAGATGCATCCCAGAGGGCAGCTGGTGATTCGGTAGATAAGAGAGGGAGTCTGTCAGATGGTGAGGTTTTTAGACCTCCATTGTTTAAAAGGTATGGGTGATAGAACCAGCGTCATCCCCTGCCGCGTCCCCACATGCTGCCCGGTGGGACAGGGGAGATGCCAGTGCCGGCTGCTGTGAGCACCAGCCTGCCCCTCCGGGCCCCTTGGACCACAGCAGCACGGAGTCCCTGGGACTGGGTGAGGTGGAAGAGGGGGCTTGGGAGGGCAGACAGAAGGGCCAGGGAGGATAGCTGGGACGTTTTGAGGCCTGCCTAGAGCCGGAGACGCCTATTGTTTCTCCTGGGGGGAGGCTGTAGGAGCTGCGCACGTCAGTGGTGACCAGGAAAGAATCCTTCAGCAGTGCAGCCAGGCTCCCCGGTGTCTGGTGGCCCTTAGTGCCAAAGCAAGTACCCCGTGAGTCCACCTTCGTCTGAAACACTGGTCGTGGAGATTAAGGGGTTGACTAGCGCACACAGTAAATGTGCCAGCAGAGAAAACTGCCCTCCTCCTCGCCTTCCCTCGCTCCCCAGGAATGATCTTGGGTCATGAGAGTCACCTACAGAGCAGTCCTCCTCCGTTTCACCACAACAATAGTTGGGTCTTGGAAATCCCTCCTGGGGCAAAGGGGGAAATAGTTGCATATTTCTGTATCCCCCAAAATAACTTCCCGCCCCCTTTGTTGGTAAAACTACTTCAAATCCCATTAAAAAGGACACATTCCCTTCATTGGCTAACTTGAGTATTCCTAACATGGCTCAGGGCGGTTTCCCCTCATGGACTCCTCTGTAATTCCTCCCTCTGCTGTTGTTCAGCTCAGGTGTGACTGTGTATTTAGGGCATGCTCCCAGCCAGGCATGCATGCATACGTGTAGAATGCACACACATGCGCACGCACACACACATATAGAAATACACGTACATGCTGGCGGTGCTCAGCGTTGATGTAGTTGAACCTTGGGTTGCTCTTACCTCCTTGAAAGGACGGGAGCCTACCACCTGGAACGGAGAGGACAAAAGAAGCGAGTAGATGTGACGCAGCCATGCGTGGGAGGATCATGACTAAACCCAACTACCGTGAGGAGAAGACCCAGGAGCCATAGAGGAGACGAGCCCCCACCTCCCCGGTAGTTTTCCATTCCTTCCATCTGCTGTCTTGTGAAGGGCAGATCTCTAGGCGTTTGCCAGGTCTAAGATGGGAATAAAATGAAGGGATTGATGCAGTGAAAGGGTGTTTTGGGGTCCCCAGCCCTACTGCGTGCTGGCCGTAGCTCTTGGTGGGCTCTCTGTATTTTGCGGGCCTCAGTTTCTTCCTCTCCAGATGAGGTAACACGCCCGTCCCTCATGGTGGTCGTGAGGATTCAGTGAAATCATGTTGGTCCGAGTCCGTCCCCCATGGCCGGGGCTAGGAGGCGTGTGGTGGTCATCCCACCCACCTTTATCTTCATACTTGAATTTGGCTGGTTCTGCTGAAGCTCAGGAATTGGGCAACTTTCTACAGAGTCCTCTCCCCCATTTCCCTTTCTAACCTTGTCTTTCTCTCCTTGCAGGGGCCCAGATCATTGATCTGATGATGCTGGTCATCGATGTGACCAAAGGGATGCAGACCCAGTCCGCGGAGTGCCTTGTGATTGGGCAGATCGCCTGCCAGAAGCTGGTCGTGGTGCTGAACAAAACAGACCTCTTAGCTGAAGGGAAGAGACAGGCAGCGATTGATAAAATGACAAAGAAAATGCAGAAGACCCTAGAGAACACCAAGTAGGTTTGCTAATGAGAGGAGTGTCCACATGTCTAAGCTGGCTCTGGGGCATGCTTCATTTCATTAACACAGGTTGGGCAGGCGGGTGTCAGCTGTGGGTCCTAGTAAGCGGGATCTCACCTGGCCCTTGCGCGCGGCAAGAGTAAAAGACTAAGATGCTGTTGCAAGAGACCAAAAACTACAGAAGCGTAAAGAGACTAGAAGCTGATTTTCCAGGTAATTTCCTAACGTGAGCACAAGGGGGTTTCTTCTCTGTACAGCATTCAGAAACCCCAGTGTCCTCCATCCTGCTTCCACTTAGGGTGTGTCTCTGTCCGTGTGGTCAAAGCCAGGCACAGACAGTGCTGCATTCACGTTCACAGGAGGGTCCAGTGTATAAGGAACGCCCAGACTGGAAGAGGCACACACCCTTGCCACAGATTCTGTGGGTGAGGCCTCAGTCCTGCCCGTTCATGTTGGTCATGCCTCGGTGTCAGGCCAGGAAACATATCCCCTCACCATCTGCTTAGCTGCAACTCGGTTATCTGAAGGCGGAGATGAGTTTTGGTGGATGACTGGATGTTTCTGTCACAGAGGCTTGTAAAATTGGGTAGATGGATGGGCAGACTTTGCTGTTGGAGGGGAGACTGGGAAAGGTGAGATCACAAAGGACCTTTGTAATATCTCATGCCAGCGAGTTTACGATTTCGTCTTGCAGAAAGTAAGGAGTCCTTAAAGAGTTTGTGCAAGAGGTGGCTGAGAAGTTCTCCCATGCAGAGCTGACTGGTGGCAGGCAGAAGGGATGGCTCAGCGATGATGATCCAGGGGGAGCCGAGACAGAGAGGGAGAGGCAATTTGGTGGTGTTCTCAGGGAGAGAAGTGTGGTCCGAGTTAAGGCTGTGGAGGGAGGGGAGGGGTGACTCGGGGAGACCTTTGACAGGAGAAGCAACAGGCCTTGTCAAGTGATTGGCTACGCTTACGGTCCTTGAGGACATGTCCATGAGGGCAGAGAGGTAGCGGTGCTGTGGGGCCGTGGGACAGAAAGCCGCCGGGTCGCTCAGGCGGCCACAGGAGTGACTTACTCTGGTGTGGTCAAGAGAATGAGAAAATGTCCTTGTTGAGAACACAGTGTTGGCAAACCTCATTGTTTTATCAATTCCTCTCTTCCTCTCTGGGCCAGCGCCTTTTGATCAATACTAAATAGCGGTCACTGGGAGACAGCGATGCTTCCTCTTTGCTATGCAGCCTGAGACAATATCCTGCTGCTGCCACCTCTCCTTCTCCTGCCTGTGGAGGGCAAGCAAGTAGAGAGTGTTTTTGTTTCCCCGTCATAAAGATTGATATGCCTTCCCATTTATGATTTTTTTTTTCAGATCCAACACCTGCAGCTCTCCCTCAGAATTCTCAAGTTGGTTAAATTAAAGCTCCAGCCCTGTGAATGGGCCAAATATGTCATAAAAGATTTCCTAGCACTGCCTTTTGTTAGCAAAATTCATCAATCCGATAAAATCGACACATTTAGATAAGTGTTGCATAAGAATTCAGACTTTGTTATTCCCAACGGAAGTGGATATGAGACTGTAAAAAGGAAGATAAAAAATTATATCTTCTTTTTAGTGAGTTATTTGATCTCCCTGCCGTTTTATTTACTTGTCAGAAAGGGGAGAACAGGTCCTTTGGACTCCTGCGTGAAGACCCAGTACAATGTCAGTATCATTTGTATATAAACGGGACCTTCTGGGAAGGGTTTGGGGTACCATTAAGGGTAAATTAATATTAGCTATTTCGATCAGTTAAATTTAAGGCAGATTCTCACCTTCATGTTTAAGTTATTATTCCTATTTTAATTTATTGCTTGAAGGTCAAATTATGGACTGTATCATATCCAGAGGCAGTTGTCCACCTGAAACCTCTCCTCTCCTCATTCAGTGCCCGGAGGGCGGGGGGAGAAACTCCCATAAAAGAAAGGATTGCCACCCTGATGGGTTGTAGCTAGTGGGCTCCAGGGCCGGTGGCCAGGCCAGGTTGTAAGAGAACATGAGCTTTTACCTCTGTGCAGCAGAGAACTTTAAGTCATCTTAAGTGACCATCTCCTTTCCTTATGGTCCCTTGTGAAGTAAATCCTTTGTAAATGCTGGCCCATATGTGAAGAAACTTTCTACCTAAAAAGGAAAAATTTGGGTTGATGAATTATGTACATATCAAAACTGAAAATATAAAACCTGTTAAAAACATAACGTATTTTTTCCATCCAAAGAGTAATTAAAATTAGAAAACGGAGAAAAATGATTAAAAGAAAGAGGAGACCACCCAAAGATTTCTTTTTTCAAAATAACTGCTGACATTTTGGTTTATTTCATTCCTATCTTTTCACTGTGTATAATATTACCACCCCCCTTTTTGTCCACATTTTTTTAATTGTGGTAAAATATGCATACTAAAATACCCATAAAATTATTATTTTACCCATTTGCAAATATACAGTTCATTGGCATCAAATACATTCACAAAGCTGTGTCTCCATCACCACTGTCTATACCTAAAACTTTTTCGGGATTCCCAACAGAAACTCTGTATCCTTTAAATAGTAACTCCCCCTTCTCTCCTCCCCTTCCCCCCCATAGCCTTTATTCTGCTTTCTGTTTCTTTGAATTTGCCTATTGCAAGTACCTTATATAAATGGAGTCATATATTCGGCTTTCTGTGTCTGGCTTATTTCCATTAGCATAATGCTTTCAGGGCCCATCCTTGTTGTAGCAGGTGTCAGAATGTCACTCCTTTATAGCTGAATAATTTTCTATTGTGTGTATGTACCATATTTTGTTTTTCCATTCATCATGGATAATCACTGGTCTTATTTCCTTTGGCTATTGTGAATAATGCTGTATGAACATTGGTTTACAAATATCTATTCAAGTCCTTGCTTTCAATTCCTTTGGGTCTATACCTAGGAGTGGAATTGCTGAATCATATGGTAGTTTTATGAGTAACGTTTTGAGGAACCACCAAACAGTTTTCCACAGTGGCTGCACCATTTTACATTCCTGCCAACAATGTGTTAGGGCTCTAATTTCTCCACATCCTCACCAACACCTGTCATTTTTCTTCTTTTTTTTTTTTAAATAGTTATCCTAGTAGCTATGAAGTGGTATCTCATTTCGGCTTCCCCTATCCCCTTTTGCTGGTTCCCCCACCACCACCTGTATTATTGAGAAATAGTTGACATATATCAATATATAAGTTTAAGGCATACACCATGATGGTTTGATTTACACATATTGTGAAATGATTAGCAGTCAGTTCAGCTAACATCCATCCTCCTATATAGATACAATACAAAGAAAAGAAGGAAAGAAAAAAGGAAAAAAATGTTCTTGTGATGAGATTTCTTATGATCTACTCTCTTAACACCTTTCCTGCATATCAGATGGTAGTGTTAGCCACAGTCATCATGTTGTACATCATGTTTCTAGGACTTATGCTACAACTGCATGTTTGTATCTTTTGACCACCTTCTCCAATTCTCTCTTTCCCAACCTTCTGCCTCTGGTGACCACAAGTCTGATCTCTTTTTCTGAGTTGTGTTTCTCGTGTTTTTGTTTTTGTTTTTTTTAGATTCTGCGAATAACACACAGTATTTGTCTTTCTCTGACTTCTTTCGTTTAGCATAATGCCTTTGAGGTCCATCTATGTTATAGCATATGGTAGGATTTTTTATGGATAAATGATATTCAAATACACACACACACACACACACGTACATACATACATACACACCACAACTTCTTTATCCATTCATCCATCTATGGACACTTAGGCTGTTTCCATGTCTTGGCTACTGTAAATAATGCTGCAGTGAACATGAGGGTGCAGATATCTTTCCAAGTCAGTGTTTTCATTTCCTTTGGATATATTCCCAGAAGTGGATCATACGGTAGTTCTATTTTTAATTTTTTGCAGCTCCTCCATACTGTTTTCCATAGTGGCTGCACCAGTTGATACTCCCACCCATGGTGCACAAGCGTTCCCCTTTCTCCACATCCTCACCAGCATTTGTTATCTGTTGTCTTTTTGGTGGTGGCCATAGTAACACGTATGAAGTGATAGTGATATCTCATTATGGTTTTAACTTACATTTTCTTAATGACTAGTGATGATGAGCATCTTTTCATGTACCTGTTGGCCTTTCATGTATCTTCTTTGGAGAAATGTCTATTTAGGTCTTTTGCCCATTTTCTATCAGGTTTTTGTTGTTGTTTTGTTGGGTTTTTGTTGTTGTTGAATTGTAGCAGTTCTTTATATATTCTGGATATTAATCCCTTGTCACATATATGATGTGCAAATGTTTTCTCCTATTCTGTAGGTTGACTTTTCACTTTCTTCATACTGTCCTTGGAGGCACATGAACATAAGGGAAGGGAAACAAAAATGATATAAAAACAGATAGGGGGACAAAACAGAAGAGACTCATAAATATGGAGAACAAACTGAGCGTTGCTAGAGGGGTTATGGGAGGGGGGGTGGGCTAAATGGGTAAGGGGCATTAAGGGATCTACTCCTGAAATCATTGTTTCACTATATGCTAACTAATTTGGATGTATATTTTAAAAAATTAAAAATAAAATTTAAAAAAAGTTTTTAACTTTTATAAAATCTAATATATTGATTTTTCTTTTGTTGCCTGTGTTTTTGGTGTCATATCCATGAAATTGTTGCCAAATCCAATGTCATGAAGATTTTCCCCAAATTTTTTCTTAAGAATTTTGTAGTGTTAGCTCTTAAGTTTAGGTCATTCATCTACCTCTAGCAAATTTGTATATATGGTGTAAGTTTATGTATGGTGTAAGTTAAGGGCCCAACTTTATTATTGGCATGTGGCTATCCAGTTTTCCCAGCACCGTTTGTTGAAAGGATTGTCCTTTCCCCTTTTACCCTTGTCAAAACTAAATTGATCATACATGTGTGGGCTTACTTCTGGGTTCTCTGTTCTCTTCCATTGGTCTGTGTGTCTGTTCTTATG